GAACTCCAACTAAACCCAAGAAAAACAAGCAGAAAATGCCACTGAATGTGTTAAAAGAAAGATTCAATTATTTGAATTCTAGGAAGGGGTCTTTTTTTCTGCTCATTAGGACATCAAATACTCTGAATAAATGTTTCATTTTTGGTCTCATTTATCTCAAGATCTGTTTCCTTTAATGCACAGTTTCCTCCCTCCCCACCTCCCACAGTAAACCACACGCAGAACCTGAAGTAGTGCTTCCTCAGAGCCCAAGTAGGACCTCGATCTCTGAAGAGCCTGCCTCTGAGCAGCAGGTGTCCCTCGCACCACCTGCCTGCCCGCACTGCCCAGCCAACTCACTGTTGGGGGTGGGCAGGGGCAGGGGCAGGGGGACTAAGAGACCACAGTAGTCAGTTGGGCCTGGGTTTGAAGTTTTTTGTTTTAGGAGTTTGGTAGGGATTTGCTTGTTAGTATTTTATATACAGATAATGTTCTATTAAATTTTTGAACTGAACTCTATTGGAAATGGCGATAGTGCCAAAACAAAAACCCATACCTGGGGAGAAGGACAATATTTATTTCATTAAGTTATGATAACATCCGAGAAAGAATTCCCTTCTTCCTGAAGGTGGTATATCTCTGAGGAGGCATCCTATTTATCTGTGTTCAAATAATATCCTGCAGCTATTGTAAAACTGTTTGGTTCTGTTGTTTAGCTTTGAAATTCCCCTTCAAGTCTCCATATTCAAGTAAAGCCGTGAAACAACTGTAAGACAAGTAAAAGGTGTGGACAGAAAAGAGCCCACATACTAACCCTGGAGAGCTCAGGGGGGCTGTGTGGCAGGTCCTACACACTCAGAGACTGAAAGCTACCACACAGGATTGTCTGAAAGTAAAATTCCTAACTAAATGCAGATCACGGCACACCCTAGCCCTGTAGCTTCCTTGACAAATTTAGTGTGTACCTTAAGTGAGCCTGTCTATTGTCCTTTTGTATCTAAGATTACATACCTTTGAAACTGCAGACTCATCTTCTTTTCCAGAACTCACAGGACATGCTCTCTGCTCCAGAGCAAGAATCTACACAAGCCCTCGTTGTTGTCTTATTCCCAGAATACCATCTCTAAGTGCTATAAATGTTAATTGCTCACTATCCTGTATTCACCAATGTAAAAGGAGTGTCTCTCCATTTTATTTTCTACCCAGTCCCAGAGATTTCCTTGCTTTGCTTCCTCCAGCCCCTTCAATCTACCACCAGTGGGTTTTATGTAACCTTCCTTATGCCTCCTCCTTTTATTCCAGTGTATAACACAAGCGGCAAAACGCCATTCTTCTGAGCATTTTCTTGATCTGGTGAGATTTCACTTCCCAGCAATGGGGATCAATTTGGCTCAGATAAACTCATAAAAATTCTCTACAGGTTTGGACATTTCTTACATGGACAAAAAGAAGATGAGTAACAACAGACACCATTTGCTGTTATCTTATGTCAGATCTCTGCCAAGTACATTACCTGCATTGTCTCATTCGATCCTTCCCTCCATTCTCTGAGGTGGGCGTTATAATCCCCAATTGATAAATGAGCAAACTGACTTAGAGAGGTTGGGTAGTTTTCCCAAAGTCCTGTTTCAGGGAGTGGTGGCACTGGGACTTCAGGCCTGCCCTCTACCACCCCGCAACTCCCACTGTGGACGTGGAGAAAGCAAAAGGCAGGACAGGCTTCGGGAGAGTGGGGAATTAACATTTAAGGAGGAACTGAGAAGATGATTGATGTCAAAACAACTGATCTATCATTTTGGAGCAAGTTGGTTAAAGAACTCAGATTAAAGAATGCACAACTGATGAGACACACCTAGAAAGTTAACTCCTTAGCCTCAGCTAGAAATAACCTGAGCTCCTAAATTCTCTACTTTTATCATAACGATCTGCTTGGGCTCTTCTTGCATAGCTATAAACAAGCTAGGAAAGTGGCCTTGGCAATGATCAAAAAGGAGAACAATCTCTATTTTTACACCTGGGTGGTGACAACCACCTATGAGGAAGTGATACCAATAGCAGAACCAAAAACTAGAGCAATTAAGTTCTGTCAAACCACATCATGCTTACCTTCAAAGGACTTAAATACTGGGAGGATTTCATCAGTTTTTAGACCACTAGTATTAAGAAGGGACTATTTATAGGCTAGAGTAGAGATTGTTTTGGAACAGCATGTGGATTCAAGTATCACTCCTAAAAGAACTTAGGATCTTCCCTAAGGCCCTGAGAAAAAGTGGCTTTCTCTGTCATGAGAAATTCAGGGACCTGCAAAACAGTTCTAGCCACATGTCCACAGGATAGAATTTGAACTGTGACAACAATGATATTCAGGTACATTAGAAATATGTCTGCTGGAAAATCTGAGAGGAAGCCAGATGTCAGGGTGAGACGACCAAGTCCCTCAAAGAAAGTAAGTGCCTGTGAAGAAGGGAGAGTGTGGCATGGTGGGTGAGAAGTAGCCTGAGTATCCACAGGGAAGCGCCGGCAGGTGCAGTGCGAGGTGGTGTACGGACACCCACCCTCCAAACTCAGGCTCAGTGGTGCCTGAGCCCTTGCACCTGGGCAAAAGGAGCTTACCAAAAAATACTTGGGCATCTCTGTCTTTGGGAATCTGAGACTCAGAATTTTAACACAATCGACAACCCTACATATCTGCTCTCATTCCTAATGCTATTTAAGTCTCAGGGCCACTCCTCACATCTCTCGCCCTCTCTTTGAAAGAAGTGACAACTGTGTCCAAATACCAGCAAGGTTTGCAGGCTGCCAGCCTCAGAGACTGACAGCAGTGTACAGGGAGAAACCCGGCAGGTGATAGGACTTGCGGGATGGAAAAACAAATTAAATAATGTGTCATCATCACCAATAGTATGAATATAATAGATTGTTGTGTGAAGTACCATTTCCCACGACTACTGAGCATCCACTGTCTTTCTTTTTTTCATGTTCCAAATTTCTTCATGTTCTGGAGGTACTCTCAAATTAGCACGCCATTCACAACAGGTGCATGTGGAAGACGAGGAACTTTCTTCAATGTTCAATAGTCCATGTTACTCCTAAATTATACGTATATAAGTTTACACTTTTAAACTATGCATAAAGATCTAGACCTAACAAGGATGAAGCAAAACATCATTTCTTTACATTGGCTACTAGGTGGATATTGAACATTAGAAGAAGTAATAGTTTTAGTTTCATAAATATAATTCAACCATTCAATTTATATTTAGAAAATTAAACTGTCAGCTCAATTTTAAACATTGAAATTTATCATACTCATTCCAATTTGAATTTTATCTCTTAATTTCAATAGATCTTTTTTAATATCACAGAAAAATGTAAAAAAGATTTTACTTTTAAATGTTTACTATATTTTGCTATATATAATGCACACTTTTTTGCCCAAATTTTTGAGGAAAAAAATAAGGATATACATTTTACATGGGCAATACTAATTCTGTATCTACATAAATGTTTTTAATTCTTTTATTTATGCTCATGCATTAAAAGTGTAACTCTAGAAAGCAACAACGATATCTGTATGCAAAATTATAACCTGGAACATGATCATCGCTTTTGTTTCCAGATACAAATAAATAAATGATTGGATTTAAAAATTAAAATGAAAGATTTTTTTTTCCCTAAAAATCTGGGCCAAATACATGGGTGTGCTGTATACATAGCAAAATACAGTATATTATTTTAACTTATACTTTTAAATGCATTTAAATTTTGTGTCCTGTAAATAAAATTACATTTTATTTGTTCATACTTTAGATCATTGTGGTTGAGAACAAGCTAAAGTCATGATAGAAAATACAAAATAAATAGTCAAGAGGTTGTAAAGTTCAGCATAGGGAATATAGTCAATAATATTGTAACAAGTACATACAGTGTCAGGTGGAGACTAGACTTAGTGAGGTGATCACTCTGTGTATAGCCACTATGTTGTATACTTGACACTAATATAATATTGTATGTGTCAACTATAACTGAAAAATAAAGAAAAAAATAGAAATAAAAAAATTTTAAAGGCTAAAATTTTAGCCCTGACCAGTGTGAATCAGTTGGTTGGAATGTTGTTCTATGGACTGAAGTGTCACAGATTCAATCCCAGGTTAGGGCATATACCCAGTTTGTGGGTTCAACCCCTGGTCAGGCCACATAGAGGAAGGCAGCTAGTCAAAGTTTCTCTCTGCTATCGATGTTTCTCTCTCTCTCTCTCTCTCTTTCTCCCTCCTTCTTCCTCTCTCTCTGAAAGCTATTAAAAAATGTCCTCAGGTGAGGATTAAAAAAGTAATAATGAAAAATAAAAGGGCTAAAAATTTTTAAATAGAAATTTTGTTTTAATGAAGGGATATTTGTCAAGATATGGGGACAAGACACATTTTACATAAGAGTATATTCACTTGATTTATGCTCTTAAGTAATTAGACTATTATACGTGGGTTTCCATGTTCATTCTTCCTCTGGGCCTCAAAAATGTTGGAAGCAGGACTGCCAGTGCATCCCTAAAAAGACAGAAGTGTGTAGAAAAAACTTTTAAATGTGAAAGCTGTATCTCTAAAACCCTAAGCCACTCGCCTGTGTGATTTTTGGCACATTCTCACTTTGAGAGCTTGGGGATATAGCTGAAACAGCAGTATCTCTCCAAATCTGTTTATGAGACATCTGCCACCCACCACATACCCAGGAAAGAGGGAGTTGGGCTCTAGAAACAGAGCGTTTTCCTACTGACCAACGGGTGCGATGAGCACTGTGGGTCAGAAGGCAGAGTTCCAGGCCGTGGCAGCTCAAAGGATAAATAAATGCTCCAAGTCATTAGAGGTCAAGTGTGAGTCATAGATGCCAAGCAGAGAAGCAGCAGCCACTCCACAGGAGGAGAGGCCAAGACGTGAGCTTCACCAAGGGCACCAGCAGCAGCCAGAGCACAGGGGCGGGGTCCCCCAGGCGGTGACTGTATGATGAGGGCCCCTCTCACTGTGGTCTTCTGGAGGAGTCCCTGAGTAACACAGTAACTGTGACGAGTCTCTCTCAGGAAGTGGCTGTTGGTTCATGGGACAGGAGGACAACTGCTGTGAAGGTCACCTTCCCCTGGTGATTTCCCATGAGCTCGTGGCATGTTCAGCTTCCAGAGATACAAACGAAAATATTGTGCATGAATATGATTTACACATAACAATATCCCAAGGCCAGCCTATAAGTAATATAAACTTAGAAATAAAGACATTATTAAGCAAAAGTAGCCCATTAGAAAATTTTCCCTGAATACAATAAAATACCATTTTGAGATACATATTTTAAAATCTGGAATTTTCAACTTTTCTCTCTCAAACTTAAACTTCTGAGGTACTTTAAGAAACCAAAGAGGCTTAGCCCTGGCTGGCGTGGCTCAGTGGATTGAGCGTGGGCTGCAAACCAGGCATCGCAGGTTCAATTCCCAGTCAGGGCACATGCCCAGGTTGCAAGCCATGGCCCCCAGCAACCGCACATTGGTTTTCCTCTCTTTCCTTCTCTCTCTCTCTCCTCTCTCTCTCTCTCTCCCTCCCTTCCCTCTCTAAAAATAAATAAATAAAATCTTTAAAAGAAAGAATAAATGTTTTTTAAAAATTTAAAAAAAAAAGCCCTGGCTGGCGTAGCTCAGTGGATTGAGTGTGGGCTGTGAACCAAAGTGTTGCAGGTTCGATTCCCAGCCAGGGTACATGCTTGGGTTGCAGGCCATAACCCCCAGCAACTGCATATTGATGTTTCTCTCCCTCTCTCTCCCTCTCTCCCTCTCTCTCTCTCTCTCTCTCTCTCTCTCTCAAGTGAATAAAAAAAAAAAAGAAAGAAAGAAACCAAAGAGGCTTGAGAGATAACTTGGCGAGCCTTAGGTTGGTTCTTTGCAGACATAACAGACAGGTTTTACTCTTCTAGACCATAAGTGTCTTAGGCGCCACTTACCCAAAAAGAAATAAACACACTTGAGATAGGCAGTCTCTGCTCTAAATCAAACAGAGCAAAGGAAATGTGTTAGGAAAGGATCCTTCCTCGAAGAACCATCAAACTTACCACATTAGCTTTTTTGGGGGGAGGAATGATTCCATTCTTTTGCAACACTCAACATCCCCTTGTTTGAAAACAAATGGGAGTTCCCCTCCCTGGACAGGGTCATTGCCTCCCAGGGGCAATTCTGCTTGGAAACTTAGCTGCCCATGCATGGGTGAAAATGGGAGAACTTTCCAGAAGAACGTGTTCTGTAAGTCTCCTATCAAGAAGAACCTCTAACTCGCTCAGACACATCCAGGTCTTTCCAATGACTGAAATCCCATGTGGGAGGCGGCCTTCCCAGAGGGGTCCACTCCAGGCAGTTAAGGGAAACTGAGACGTAATATTTCTCCGCTGCCACTTAGGGAGATTCTCCTCAGACCATTTCAATAGGCATACTATTTGCCACACCTGTTAGCTATCCTAGGACTACTTTTAAAGGGCTCTTTCAGCTTTTCTCTCTTTTTTTAAGATTTTATTTATTTATTTTTAGAGAGGGAAGAAAGGGAGAACGAGAGAGAGAGAGAAACAGCAATGTGTGGTTGCTGGGGGCTGTGGCTTGCAACCCAGGCATGTACCATGGCCTGGAATCAAACCTGAGACACTTTGGTTCACAGCCCACGCTCAATCCACTGAGCTACGCCAGCCAGGACTCAGCTTTTCTCTTTTAAACAAATCTTTGCTCTCTGTGCAGCTGGAGAAGCAGCCCACATCCAAACACCAGTTTCTACTCAGAGCACGAGGGCTGGGGAATTTTCCCACTCATCCCCCCATCTGGCTAGCTCTTACGTTAGCTATTTCGAGGGCAGGGACTTTACTTAAAACCACTAAAAGCCAGCATTTAATGAGCATTTACTATATGTTTGACATTGGACTATGAGTTAGGAACTATAACTATGCTCATTTTGTAGGATGCTGAAGATTAGAGAGATTAAGTAAACCCCTCCAAAAATCTGATTTCAGAATCTGCGTGCGCGCTCATTAATTAACCACATTGATTCTCAGAGGCATATTTTTCCACATTGAAACGTTTCTGAAATTGTTAGTGTGCCTAACGATGGAAAGTTTATTCCAATGAAAACTGGCAGTGGTTTTCTTCCCCAGTGGTACATGGAATAACCGTGTGTCTCACTGCCTGTGGTACCTTCCTTCTCGTGACCAGGCACAGCCTCCTGTCTTAGTGATGTTTAATTCCTCGGGAGGACCTGGCCCCATCCCACTACAGCGGAGGCAGTCAATAATTCCTTCTTTCCCTTTCATTTATCCCCTTCCCCCCAGTTTTACTGAGATGTAATCAACATTCAACATTGTATTACTTTAAGGTATATGACCTAATGATTTTACGTGTTTATATTGAGAAATGATCACCACAGTAAGTGTAATGAACAAGTATCACTTCACATAGTTACAGTTTTTTCTTATGATGAGAACTGTTAAGATTTATTCCTTTAGCAACTTCTAAATGTACAATACTGTATTATTAACTATGGTTGCCATGATGTACATTACACGCTGCACAGGACTTTTTATCTTATAACTGGAAGTTTGTACCTTAGGACCACCTTCACCCACTTTGCCCAGCCTCTGCCCCTCACCTCTGACAATCACCAATCTGTTCTGTTTTTGAGTTTAGTTTTTTAAAGATACCACCTATAGCTCCAGCTGGATGGCTCTGTTGGTTGGAGCATCATCCTGTGCACCGGAAGTTGCAGGTTTGATACCCACTAAGGGCACATACCTGAGTTGCAGATTCAGGCCCTGGCCGGGGCATGTGTGGGAGGTGGCCATCAATGTTTCTCTCTTTCTCTTTGTCTCCCCCCTTCTCTCTCCCCCTCTCCCTCCCTCCCCACCTCCTCTCTTTCTAAAACAATGAAAAAAATATCCTCAGGTGAAGATAAATATTTAAAAAACTAAATAAAGATGCTACATATGAAAGAGATCTTACAGCATTTATCTTTCTGTCTGACTTATATGATAAGCATAATGCTCTCAGCATCCATGTATATTGTTGCGAATAGCCAGGCTTCCTTTTTTTTATGGCGGAATAATATTCCAGTGTGTGTGGGTGCATGTGTGTGTATACACTTGTTCGTCAAGTCTCTTATCAAGGAGAACATGTATATTTTATACGTTTTTACCCATTAATCTGTCAAGAGAAATTTAGATTGTTTCCACTGGTTAGGAACCGACTTGTAATAGGTTGGCTACTGTAAATACAGCTACAGTGAACATGGAGATGCAGATATCTTTTTGAGATAGTGACTTCCTTTTCTTTAGATACAAACCCAGAAGTAGCATTGCTGGGTCATATGGCAGTGCTATTTTTAATTTTTTGAGGAAACCCCATGCTGTTTTTCATAGTGGCATCATCAGTTTATATTCCCGCCAACAGTGCAGAATGATTCCTTTTTCTCCGTATTCAATCACTCTTACATTTAAAAATAGGTAAATTTAAATATTACCGAGTAAGATGCAGTGTAAGGGAGGAAGGGACTGCTAGCTGTCTACACTCTTTCTCCTCCCCTACTTCCCTAATGACTAAGCACTGATGCTTAGCTGGGCCCTGGCCACCAGGAATACAGAGTGCATTTTCCAGCTCCTTTGCAGCTCAATGTGTTCAAGTGATTAAGTTCTGGACAATGGGGGAAAAGCAGAGGTGTTATGTTTTCTGAAAAATGTCCTAAAAGTTAGAAAGCATAACCTTCTTTACCCTTCTTCAGTCCCACTGCCTAAAACTAGAAGTGATGACCAAAGCAGTGACAGGTCTCTGGGATCATGTGACTAAAGGCTGCACCCTAGGGATTTGAGAGCAGACAGCAGGGAGCAGGGAGCAGGGAGCGGTCTAGACCCCTGGTAAACTGGGGATACACGCGCCAGCCACGGAATGCCTCCCTTCTAACTTCCTACCAGAGAGAAAATACCACGTGCATTTAGGCAACTTTAAGTTTAGGTTCTGTCATGAACAGATGGATGTCCTCCTTTCTGATACGGAAGGTAGTCCCTGAGGAGTGGGAGTTTCTGAAACTTCTCATGAAATTTGCAGTTGGCTCCAAGTAACCTAGGAGAATGTGACTTCCAGAGGCCCTTCTGAGTCCTGGGGTCAATAGTTACCAAGTGAACTCATCTGAACCCAAGCCTGAAGCCGGGTTCATGGGCCACTATAGGGCTTCTCCACTGCCTGCCCTTTCAGGGTGGTACCAGGCCTCTCCTTCCATCAACCTGCTTGCCCTGGGATTTGGGTGCGAACATTGGGATATTCCCAAGAGTTTATTACATGACCTTGTCATCTGGCACAAGAGTCACTAGTGTGTAGTCCTATTTGTAATTCAGACCCCAGAGCACTTCATATTCACTGTAAAGCTCAGACAAAAAGAACAAAATACCTGGGTGACGTGTTGTGTGGAAGATCGAGTGGGCTTGTCCCGTTCGTGTCGGCTCTCCTCCTGCAGCAACACACACCACACCGTGCACAGTCTGTTTCACCCCAGTCACTCAGCACCCCCGTATCTCCACGTGGGCAAAGACCCCACCCCACTCAGCACTGGCAGCTCCCTACTCCATCCATTCAAACAGATGGAGCAGATGGGTTCTTCTACTCCAGCATCCTTCCTGGGCCCCCAACAACTTCCCAGATGCCCCATCATCCCTTCCTTCATATGCCACCGATGAAAGCTTTGGAACAGTCCATGCCACTTTGCTCTGATAAGGAAAGCTAGACTACAAATTCAAGTGTACATATAATGAAAATGACCTGGAGTGGCCCTCATTTACATATTATCCACAAACAAGAATCATTCTAACCAAGCTTTAAAACTGTACTGCAATATCTATTTAAAAGTAGCAGTTGCATTCGACTGAGTGGAAGCGGAGACATACATTTCCCATGGTGCCACGGAGTAAATCTGCCATGTCTGTGGGAGGTTCACTCTCCCTCTCTGGGTTTATGAGACTTTAATGGCATGCAATGCACACACGCCCTAGCACCTCCAAATTACCTGGCTAAATGCGCTTTTATGGAGGCTGTTGTCAGATGAAATTTAAAGACAAGCAAACAAGTTGACTAAATGAAAACCTGTAAAAGGTGGAGAGAAAACAGCCCCTGAGAGGAAAATGAAAAGGATTCAATCTCATTTATATGTCCTGCGGTGGCCCCGTAGGCCCAGTGGGCAAACTTAAGTGCAAATTCCACTTCTTCAGACTTGCGGTCTTCACCTCTGTCCCTCTCACCTTTGTCTTAATTTAATAGTTGACTTATTACAACTCTCATTTTCCATCTTCAGTAATACTCCCCCACCCCTTTCTGTCCCCCAAAAGTAAACTATACCCTCGGATCTTGAAATGTGCTATTTTTCCTGCCACATCTTCCCTACTACCTACCAAGCAGACTCTCCACCTCTGTTGGGACAGCCACTTATCCTTAAAAGACAGGGAGCTGGGGGGCAGGGATGTTGCCATGCATGTAGAGTAAGCTAATACATCTCAGTCTGCAAATATAAACAACCCACCTGCCACCCATGGGACCTGGAAGCCAGCGGGGCATGAGCAACCATAATCCAGACATCAGAGTCCAAATCACAGGGCAGCGTGAGTAAATTGGGGACTGGAGGTCACCTTGGAAAGGCAGCTCCTCCTGGAATCCCCACAGCTGCCTCAGGTGGCATCTCCTCCTGCAATCCCAAGAACACAGACTGAAGCCTCGACCCAGGGCCCAGGAGGTTCTGTATTAGTCAGAACTCTCCAGAGGAATAGAACCAACAGGATGTATACACATAGAAAGAGATTTAATTAAGTAATTGGCTTAGTGATTGTAGGAACTGGCAAGTCAAAATTTTGCAGGACAGACTGGCGGGCTGGAAATTCCAGCAGGAGCTGATGCTGCAGTCTTCAGTCCAAAGGCAGGTGGGAAGCAGACTTCCTTCTCTTCTGGAGACCTTAGTCTTTTCTCTGAAGACCTTCAACTGATTGGATGAGGCCCACCCGCATTATGGAGGGTAGTCTGCTTTCCTCAAAGTGTACTCATTTAAATGTTAATCACATCACAGCATTATGTAGACTCATGTTTAACCAAACAACTGGGCACCACGGCATAGCTGAGTTGGTACATTAAAATTAATCACCACCTGTTCCAAGAAGCCTGGACTCCCCACAGGATGCTCCAAGCACTAACCCCTTTTCTCCATCCAGGTCACATAGACTGAGAGCTGATCCATCCTCTACAGTACAAGGCAACTCCGATGGTCCCATCCCAAACATTTGTGAAGGACACCAAAGCCCCAGAGGTGTTTTAGCCACCCCAGATCCCCGGGGAAGGTCTCTCCTCTCCAGGACAAGGAGAGCAGGGTTTTTGGTCCCTGTGCGTCTGCATGGGTCACAGGAGAACCCCTCCCCTCACCACTGCCCTGAGCAAGGGAGCTGAACCGAATGATTGAAACAGTCACAAAATTCACCTCTCAAATAATTTTATGCTGTGTCTCTTGAACAGTCAAACAGAACGGTCTTAAATATTTATGAATTACTCAGAGATCCCAGGATTGGCATCATTTTTCTGAAAAAAAAATTAGTTTAAACATACCAAAATTTATAATATCAGGAAATATGTTCATTTAATCTCTAAGCTTACTCTTCATTTCAGAAATAAAGCCTTTCCCTTTTCCTGCTTTTGGTAACAGAAATAACTTATAGCAGTGAGAAAACACAGCTATAGACAATATATTCCAGGCTCAGGAGCCCCATGAAATGGGCCCCTGGGGCCACAGGGCCAGTGGGGAAGGAGAGCGCCCCAAAAACAAAACGAGAAAAAGCGCCGAGAGCTCAGCATGCCCCTCCCTGCAGTCGGCAACGCTTTCGTGCGCAGAGGGTGCATCAAGAGCTTGGAGACTGAGGGAGAGGAAGGCCATTCAACAGGGTTAAAAACAAAACAGCAACAACAGCACTACCACAGGGGATTAAATTTTCCAAATACTTATTCATTCCATAGCAAGACAATTGCCAGCAACTGTAGCATCATAAATGAGTTATGGAGATCCTAGTAGTGCTGTCCAAATTACATTAGTTCCTCTATTCTAAGTACAGCAGATTGTTCAAATGGTGACGGACAGCTGCAGACAGCACCCAAGGAGCCTTGAGTCAATAAGGAAGTGGCCCCATGTTGGCTTTATGCTGGTCTGTCCCCCGCACCCCCAAAAGGGAAGCTGGGCAGCATGAACAACTGATGCTGTCTGCCATGGTGTTCTCATTGTTGGTAATTAACACACACTCAGCATTGAGGTACACGAAGGGCTTACCGGAGACGAAGGCCACCCAGCAGGCAGTTGGCCTAATTCCAGCCCCAATACTTCCACAAACATCGACCACCAAAAAATCTATAGCGAGATGGTGCAGGCCTGCCTCATCAGACTGAGAATTGCCTGGTTACACAACAGGAAAAAGAAGTGGCCAGAAAGACCTTGAGAAAGGAAAACAGATTTTTGAAAATGTGTCATTTTCTTTCTTCACCCATTGACCTCTTTTGTAGGACTTTTGCAACAAAGGGATAATTACTTACAGAAATGACTCACAGTATGCTAGAGAAAAGACCTAGAAATTATTGAAGATTTCTTGTTGAACAGAGAAGTTTTGATTTCTGGGGATTGGAAAAGTTGTCGTCACTGGTAAAATTGAAAACGAACAATAGCCCTGTTGCCACACCTTGAATTTGACATACAAGGGAAATTTCCCTCTAACAAATAAGAAGTTCGCATCTTGTTTCACGGTAGGTCGCTTTGCCCTAAGTCAAATTTCCCTTGTGAGCTACCCCTGTGACTTTAAACAGCTCATTTATCCTCTGTGTCTCAGCCTCCTCATTAGTACTAGGGAGACAGCAAGGAAACCAACCTGAGAGGGTCGTGTGCGGATTACGTGAAACAACACGTAAAACTGCCCAGCACGGCACCTGGCACATGGCAGGTGCTCCATAAACATTCCTTGTGATTACAGTGCGAGAGCACTTGGCCAACTGGTAAGTCCGACACAGACGCAGGTTACCGTGAATGGTTACAGACACAGCTTATAATTGCTTCCAGATAACATGTTTCCTTTCTGTAAACAGACCCGCGTGACAAAACATGTCCTGTCATTTGCATTTCCAGTCTGGCTGCAGGAAGCTGAAGTAGCAGGGAGGTGCCCTCCAGAGCCGGGAGGAGAGGGGGGAAGAGGCGCAGGCTGCAACCTCCCTCCACCATTTCAACGGAGGGGAAGAGTCTTCTCCTCGAGAAAGTCGTTCTGTTGCTAAGACAGCCACCATTTTCATCTTGCAATGCATATTAACCCTTTAAAAATGTTTGACAAAAAGGATAACTCCTGGCAACATTAGGTGTTTGGGAGCCCACCATGGGACTCCAAGAATTATGTACTCTCCACTGTCACCCTTCCTTCCCCTCGCCCTCCTCCACTCACACCCTCAGATGGAGTTCTGGGTCTCCACACACAGTGGGCCGGGGCCAGGCAGCCTACTCTGCTGCTGCAGTGGAGGCCCAAGGTCAGGCTACACGGATTCAAATGCTGTGGGACTTCGAGAAAGTTACCTTGCCTCTCTGTACCTCAATTTCCTCATCTATTAAATGCAGATCATAGAAAGCCTTACACTGAAGGTTTGCTATGAAGATTAAATGTGATAGTGTATATAAAAAATATAGGTGATCAATAAAGATTAGCTATTAGAATCACCATCATCATCATCGCCATCTTCATCACCATCTCTGCCATTATTATATACATACCTGTTTCCCCCAAAAGCATCCACCCATAAATGGGACAGGTCAGTATCCTCTGTGTGACACTGCCAAGTGTCCTTCTATGGCAACCAATAACACTGAGTGACAGAAAATAAGAGGACAAATGCAGATGGGTCACAAAGGCACTGCACCAGAGGCCTGAATTAGAATAACTCATGTGCACGAAAGGGGTCTAGCACCGTGCTGTTGAGTGGGGAGTGAAAGATGATAACCTTGATGTCACTACATTCAACATTTAGTGCAGGAGAACATTCTTTCGGACTGACTCATCTGAGCTTCAGGCCCAACTGAAGCAAGTTCCCACAGGAAGAAAGCAGGGCCCGGTGGTAAATAACCTGCCCTGTGAGTTCACATCAGAGCCGAGAGCCCAGGTCCCCCAGTGTCCAGTCCGGAGCTCTTCCACCAGTCCCTGGGTCACTGATGAGTTGGACAGACTGATCCAGAGGGGCAGAGAAAGGCGGGCTCGGCCCAGGGTCTCACTCGCCAGGGACTACCCTAGCTGCCCCTGTCAGTAAGAAGACATTTTTTCCTTCTCCTCTTCATTTCCTTCTCAGCCAGTTCCTCTGCCCCACCTAGTACCCAGCCAGCCTTGCAAGGACTAACACGCGGCGCTAACATGGCTTTAGCAATAAAATGTGGGTCCCCAGGGTCAAAGCCCTTCCCCTGCCTGTCTCCTCTCTCCTGTACACACCCCTCGATCCTCTCTGTTCTGGTTCTTTCCACCCAGGCCCTTTGATCACCACCCTATGGACTCTCCCTGGAGCTCGTATTTCCCTGTTCGTCCTCCCTTCTCCCTTTTCGCCTTTGCCCCCTTCCTCGGCATAAAAGCACCCTCTTCCCCCCAGCCCCATCCTTGTTGCCTAGTTATCGCTCCCTCTCTAGTAAATCCCAATTCCAGCATCTCTAGCTCAGCATCTTTCTGAATCACTCCCACCCGCAGCTCAGATGAGATTCAAGCACCTCCCTTCCTGGTTCCCGTGTGTGTATTTCTTGTACTTAACACACTTTTTACATTTCTGCTTCCACCAGACCTAGAACTCTTTCAGGGCAGTGACCATCTGCATTCACATCCTTGGGACAGAGCGCAGTGCCTGGCCCCATACTAGATTGCCAGTAAATATTCATTTAATGAAAGTAACATGAGTAACAAATGTCCCAACTATTCCATTTAGGTCAAACTGTCACTGTTTGCATGTCGGTGACTCAAAACCCACTCACAAGTTTCTTCACTGACGAAACCAGCAGCTCTTTCCTGTTCCCCTGACTCTGATTTCCATACTTCCTCTCATGAGACACCCTCTCTTCTCTCTTCCAGAATCTACAATTTCAAAATGAACCTCTCAACTCAAGGGCTTAAGAGAGACCTGAAGTCACAATGCAGAATCATTTTCTAATGGGAAGTGCAGTTCTCGCCGTGATAAAGGCCCCGAACCGACGGTAGAGAGCCTCGCTGCACACCGCGCTCATGCTGCCGCTGAGTGAAGGTGCGCTCGAAAGCCACGCCTCCACCCACCCTCAGGTTCACTCACCCCACCGGACCCGTGTGCTGCCCAAGAAGCACACCAGGTTTCCCCCTGCATTCCTTCTTCTAGCTCTCCTGCTTTTCTCCTCCAAACTGCAGCCCCGCCTACTCACTCTCGCCCTCAGCTGCTGTGTGGCCTTACCTACTGTTTCACTGGGAACACAGAATCCACCCAAAGAGAACTCCCGAGATCTCGCACCTCCACACACGAGTCCCGCGCATCCACATCTGCGCCCTCAGGCTCTGCTCCTCTCCTGCCAAAGGCTCACTCTTCCCCATGTGCACTAGATCCCAGCCCTTGCTGCCTCCTCTAGGACATTTCTTCCGCTCTTCTCTCCTCCCTCTCACCTGCAGCACCGACTTTTCCCTCTTGTACTGGACAGTCCATCAGAATCAACGTGCTCCTTTCCTTCTACCTTAAGAAAAAAAGAACTTCTACCCAGTTGCTTCCACATTTTGTCCTTCCTTTTACAGAAGCTTCCCCTGAAGCTGTCATGAGCAGTGTTTTTTAAATCATTTTTTAAATTTCTCAATTACAATTGACATACAATATATATTAGTTTTAGGTACACAACCCAGTGATTAAACATTTATATGACTTATGAAATGATTACCCTGATAAAACTAGTACCCATCTGACACCATACATAGTTATTACAAATTCCCTATGCTGTGCTTTACGTCTGTGCTTGACTATTCTGTGACTACAAAGTTGTGGTTCTTAATCCCTTCACGTTTTTCACCCTGTGCCCCCAACCCCCTCAGCTCATTCTCTGCATCTATGAGTCTGTTTCTGCTCTGCTTGTTCGTTTGTTTTTCAGATTCTTCATATAAGTGAAATCATATGGCACTTGTGTTTCTCTGTCTGTATTATTTCACTCCGCACAGTACCCTCTAGGTCCATCCATGTTGTTGCAGATGCGAGATTTCATTCTTTCTCATGGCCGAGTCATGGTTCAGGGTGTGTATGCACCACTTCTGTATCCATTCATCTACTGACGGGCACTGAGGCTGCTTCCATGCCTCGGCTGTCGTCAACGCTGCTTCAGTGAACACACGGTTGCATATGTCTTTTTTATTGAGTGTTCTCGCTTCCTTCAGATAAATGATCAGCAGTGAAATTGCTGGGTCCTTCTTTGTCCCGTGTTCTAGCCTTTGTTTTAAAGTCTGTTTTGGTTGGTGTAAGTATTGCTACCCCATGAGCAGTGTTTCCAACTTAACTCCTTCTGCTGTGTCTTGAATCCACTCCGGTCAGACTTTTATTCCAATGCTCCATCGGGGCTCCCACTTTCCTCCTCGCTGCTAGAGTTATCGTCCGATCTCTGTCTTTGTCTCCTGGACATTTCAGCAGCATTTGGGACAGGGGACATCTGTCTTCCTCTAACACCTCCCTCACTGGCTCTGAGGACACCTCACTGTCCCAGATTTCCTCCTGTTTGCCGGGGCACTCCATCCTGATCTTTCCTGTTTCCTGTTTCCTCTTCATCTCTTAAATCTCCAAATGTTGGAATAGCCCAAGCTCAGCTTGAGTTTCCTCTTTTCTCTATCCTCACTCCCTTAGGAATCTCATCTAGATTTATAACTTAAAACATCATTTCTCATGCTGATGACTTCCAAAGATGTCTTAAACCTATCATGTTAAAAACTGAACGCTCGATGTATATACCCCAAGATCACCATCCTTACTAGTTAATTGTAACTCAATTCTTTCAGTTCCTCAGGCCAAAACTCTTGGAATCATCTTTAGCTTCTTTTCCTCCTATACCCCACATCAACTCTCTCAGCAAATTCTACTGATTCCACTTATTTCTTGCCTTCATCAGCATCTTCTATTATTATTAAAGGGCTTGTGAAGACTTACACAAATACAGGAATTCCTAAGGAGCCACAGATGCTATCAAGAATGCCGAAGAACCCCGAAGCCCTGAAGGAAGAGCCATGACTCTGTCTGACCCTCAGAGCCCCGTTCATTCTCTGCCTCCCCTGACGCTTCTGCCCTACCCCACATCTACCAATAATATTACTTAACTATTGGTTTTGAAATAATAACATATTCACGAAGTGGTGAAGGTAGTACAGCAATCTCAAGTATCCTTCACGCAGTTTCCGTCCATGTGACATCTTACGTAACTATAGCATGATAAAAACCAAGAAACTAGCACTGTGTATGTGTATCTCCAGGTCACTTAACCATATATGTAGATTCCTGTAACCACACTACAATCTAGATACAGAACTCTTCCATCACCACAAAGAACCTTCATGTGCCACAGCGTTATAATCATATAAAGCCCTAATCTCCGCCAGACACTAATCTGTTTTCCATCTCTGTACTTTTGTCATTTTGATTAATGTCACAGAAATGCAGCCATAGTCCCCCTGATCACAGGAAATACATTCCAAGACTTCCAACAGGCATCTGAAACCATGAATAGTACTGAACACTTCATATACTGTCTTCATATACACATATACGCATACCTATGATAAATTTTAATTTATAAATTAAGCACAGTAAAAGATTAACAACAACTGTTTTAGGAATGGCCAAACTACTTTCCAGAGTGGCTACACCATTTTACATTCCAGCATGTTTCCAGAATCCCACCACATCCCACCACCAGGTCAGCACTCCGATCCATGACTCCGTCCTTCATCTGTTGTCTCTACTTCGACCCATGTTCTCTCCCTACCCCTTCAGTCTGTTTTCAATCCCAGGGATCCCAGTAAGTGGAAAATCAGCTTGTGCTACTCCTCTGTCTGAGACCATACAGTAGCTTGCCATGCTACCCTGAGTAAAGCCAAATTTCTTACTGCAACCTATGTAATGTGCCTCTTCCCTACCCTCTGACTGTATTTCCAATTGTTCTCCCCACCACTCACTTCCCTCCAGCTATGACAATGGCCTCCCTGCTCTGCCCTACCTGTGCCAAGAACTCTCATGTCTCCTTCGAGTTCGCTGTTCCCTCTGTCTGCGATGCCCTTCCCACACAGATCATCCCCTCACTCCTTTAGGTCGTTATCCAACCACCTCTCTCAGTGCGACTTTTCTAGCCATCCACTTCCTTACCCACCTCCCCTGCTTTGTTTTTCCCCTTAATGCATTATCACCACCTAACATGCAACACACACTACTTATATCTTCATTCTTATCTCTCACCCTTCACTAGAATGCACGCACCTTGAAGACAGGGACTTGTGTCTGTTTTGCTCACTGCTGAATCTCCAGTGTCTGGAATAATTTCTGGTATATAATAGATGCTCAATAAATATGTTTTCAGGGAATGCATGGATAAGTAAATAAACAACCACTAACTAGAAAAATATGATTGCTAGCATTTCATATTTGTTTTCAATGCCCTTGTGAAGGATGCCATTCAGAGCAAACTTAAATGGAGGCCAGAACAAAGCACCAAAAGCAAAAGGGTCCTGGAAAATAACAACAAATGCATCTTTGTAAACGGGCACACCAATAATGCCCTGAGACAGAATCTACACAGTCCTGCATCACTAGGTCAAAACTCCGGAGCTGCCCCAGTTCTAAGGTGTCACATTGGAACCCACAGCTCAGGAAGCTACAAGCACATTCCTTGGTGACCTGGAGAACAAGGCAATGTAAAATTTCCATGCACCCTTTGGTCGTCTGTCCTAACACAGAAACAGAATCCTTCACCCTACAAAGATTGCTCCTCAAAGCCTGAAAGAATAACATCTCACCTCATTACCCACTGCATTCCACTTTTGAACCAACTCTCTGCTTCGTAAGAGATGGAAATTAACCCCAAACAATAGGCAAATAGTTGACAGCAGCATAAGGAAGTTCAAAGCCAATGAGGAGAGCTTGTGCACAGGCTGACAGACACCAATGTATGGTAGAAAAAAATTTTGAGGAGGCTAATTTGTATTTTACGTACTGATAACAACTGCTATTTTTGGAGTGCTTGCTGTAAAAACAACCAACAACACTGGGAGGTAGATACTGTAGTGGGGCCCAGATTACAGAGTGTTGGCAAGGTGTCCAAAGACCCACAGCCAGTGAATGAGGCCCCAGGGCTGGAGCCCAGGCCACCGTGCTCTACAGCTTGTGTTCTCCACTCTGCCTCTGCACTCCATGCTAGCATTGGCTAAAATATGTTACCCTCGTTGTCTCACTAAATATTTAAAACCACCCCAAAGAGGTAACAGAAGAGGAAACAAGCTTAGAGAGGTGACATAGGTAGCCTAGAAAATGGTAGAGAGGTTTGGGTTTTTTTAAAGATTTTGTTTATTTATTTTTAGACAGAGGGGAAGGGAGGGAGTGCAAGAAAGAAACATCAATGTGTGGTTGCCTCGTGTGTGCCCCCTACTGGGGACCCGGTCTGCAACCCAGGCACGTGCCTGGACTGGGAATCGAACTGGTAATCCTTTGGTTCTCAGTCCTACACTCAATCCACTGAGCCATACCAGCCAGGGCAAGTAGAGAGAGATTCAAACACAGGCTGGCCTGGCTTTTACACAGCCCATCTGCAGGGCCTCTTCTGGCCTCTGTTCTCTCTTCCTGTTCCCTGGCAGGAGAGGAGGCTGCCGTCCATCGGCTGCCGTCCATCGGCTGCCCATCCTTACCACCCTCTCCCTAGCCTTCAAGGCCACACACACAAATTAACCTTTCCTTCAAAACACATTTCCCTCAATTATGTCAGAAAGGAAATGCGATTTCTCTATTACTGAGGCATTCCTTTTAACAGAGTCTACTACTCAACTCAAATCAAGTTCTTGTTATTCAGGCTCCATACACTCAGACAGAATCTCGAGAACATTATGGAAATATGTTTGAATGGGTAGGGGGTGGTATCTCACCTCTTTCTTGCAGACCACAAATCACAACCCCCTGAGCGGCTGTCTTTGTCTACAGCCAAGCTGGCTAAAACCACACTGTACCACATACCGCCTGTGTGATGTCTGACAAGTCATGTCATCTCTCTGTACCTCAGTGTCCCATGTGCAAAAGGGGATAAAAATATACCTACTTTGTGGGAGGTGAGAGAATTGGTTGAGCTATGTACAGAAAACAATGCTTCAAAAAGTCCCTGGCACAAGGTAGGTGCTGTGTAAATGTTTGTCATTA